GCAGCTTTCTCATAACCACCCAGAATAGCGGAGCTGTGATCGACCTAGATAAGCAATTAGCCATTCCTGCAACATCCTCTCTTAATCTAAACCACGATGAACACGCTTTTTCTCCCTGTTCAATTATTCTTCCAGCCGAAACCGGTTTGGCTCAGTAGATAAGAGCATCGGCCTGCTAACTGAAAGGTCCCGGGTTCGATTCCGGTCAAGGGCATGTACCTTGGTTGTGGGCACATCCCCAGTAGGGGGTGTGCAAGAGGCAGCTGATGGATGATTCTCTCTCATCGATGTTTCTAACTCTCTATCCCTCTCTCTTCCTCTCTGTAAAAAAATCAACAAAATATATTAAAAAAATATATATATATATATCTATTCTTCCAGATTCACTAATCTCTGAAGCCTCCTCTTCCACTGGCCCTGGCCTCCCGCTTCCCGATTCCCGATTCCTGCAATGTTCACACTGAAAAAGACGAGGAACGACGGTGGGGGGAATTCTCACGCTCGTGCAGGGAACATCCTTACACGAAAGGGTCGGAGAAAAGCAAGAAACGGGATCATTCAAAGAAATCCGAGCAAATAGTTCCTGCCAAGTAAAAATACTATTTTCATTGTTTTCCAAAAAAGAAAAGAAAAACGAAAAAATTTCCAGTTTTATTTAAAAAAAAAAAAAAAAAAAAAAAAAAAAGGCCTGAGGGTCAGAGAAACACAGCCCTCACGGGTCACCTGCCTGCCTGGTCCCCGCGGCAAAAGCAAGTGAGGACACCGAGGAGTGAAACTGTGTGGTGACAGTGACACCGTCACAGAAGGAGCCCCGTACGCAGAGCCTGTCTTGGTGTGACCCTGTCTTACTTTTCACATGGATTATCTCATGGCTTCTTCTTCTTCTTTTTTTTTTCCAATACATTTTATTGACTTTTTACAGAGAGGAAGAGAGAGGGATAGAGAGTTAGAAATATCGATGAGAGTGCCGGGACCGGTTTGGCTCAGTGGATAGAGCCTGCGGACTGAAAGGTCCCGGGTTCGATTCCGGTCAAGGGCATGTACCTTGGTTGCGGGCACATCCCCAGTGCGGGGTGTGCAAGAGGCAGCTGGTTGATGTTTCTCTCTCATTGACGTTTCTAACTCTCTGTCCCTCTCAATTCCTCTCTGTGTAAAATCAATAAAAATATATTTTAAAAAAAGAAAGAAAGGAAGAAACATCGATGAGAGAGAATCATTGATCAACTGCCTCTTGCACACCCCCTCCTGGGGATGCGCCCGCAACCAAAGTACATGCCCTTGACCGGAATCGAACCAGGGACTCTTCAGTCCTCAGGCCAACGCTCTATCCACTGAGCCAAACCGGTTTCGGCATCTCATGGCTTCTAAGAGAAACATAACGTAGGCACATCCATGATTCGCAATCTCGTTTCACCGATGAGACTGGCTATTCAGGGTCCCTCTAAGGCCTGGCTGGGCCTGGGCATTGATGGGGCCGGGACCCTGACCACACGCTGTGCCTGTTTTCACTCTGCACCCAGGTGGGCACACCAAGCAGACGCAGATGGAGAAGCCTCGGGCGGATAATAAATGCCAAAGGCACCTTCACCCCAGGAGGCACATCTATGGACGCGTCGATGTGCATCATGGAAGAAATACCAAAGAACCGATGAAAGAGATCGAAAGAAACTGAAAAGCACAAACGTTTGTCGTCTGACCTTAAATGAGTTATTCTTAGACTAGAAGAGGGGAAATAAAGCAGGGAGCATGTAGATCTTCTAAAAACAACACCTGGATCGTCCTGTGCTGTTCAGAAACAAGCTAACAGGAAAGGAGGGACAAAGGACGTTATAGAAACTCGCGCCTGTGAGAAGGTGTCTAAATTTACATCCTCGAAAAGCGTGACTCCAGGAGGCAGCATCACGGCCTATAAATATCCCCCGGGCAGCGGCATAGGTGGTAAATAAAGGAGGCGGATGATGCCTAGCCTTAGGCCCAGGGCGTTTCTCCCTGTCCCGCTGTCTAAGGAAGACGCTGCTTCACACCTGAGCTGGTGGTGTCCTCAGAAATGGAAACCTGGAGGAGAGCTTCCTTTCCCTGCCGATAGCACGCCCACAAACATGGGGAGTGTCCCCCAAACCCCACACAGCACAGGAAGCCTGGGAGTCTCTGTGTGCACAGGGAGAGGGGCGATGTGGCAGGAGGCAGAGGGGCCATGGCGGGCAGACGAAGCTAATTTAAAAAAAAAAAAGGCTAAAGCTACAAAGGAGGTGGTGCTGAGGCTGGACTGTGTCCCCAACTGCAGGTCTAAGGATGCTAGCTGTGAAGAGGTGGGAGCCTTTGGAACTGGGAGGTGATAAGAAGAGAAAGGGTGAGGTGACCCAGTCCTGAGCTTCGTGTTTTGTTTTATTATAGGACAATAAAATCTTGATGTGTTCACTTCAAAAAAAAAATTCAAGGGGAGTAAGGCTGGGAGCTGCTGGAGATACCAGGGGTGGGGCTAAAAGGACCACAGGGAGTGGCCTCTGAGGGAGCTCCATTAAAAATAAAAGAAAAAAAGAATTAGACTGGAGCCCAGGGGTTGTGGCTCAGTGGTTGAGTGTCAACCTGTGAAGGTCATGGTTCAGTTCCCCATCAGGGCACATACAGGGTTGAGGGCTTGGTCCCCAATACAGGGAGTGCAGGAGGCAATGATTGATGTTTCTATCTCCCTCTCCCTCGCCCTCTCCCTTTCTCTCTGATGTTTCTATCTCCCTCTCCTTCTCCCTTTCTTTCTGAAGTCAATAATATATATTTTTTCTTTTTTCTTTTTTTTTTAAGAATTAGACTGCAGTGTCACATCTCAACAGGGTATTTTTATTTCTCCCTTTCCTTTGAAAAGGAATAATAAAGAATAGAAACAAACCCAAAAGAGCTTTTGGTTACTGGACTACTTGACAGAGAGAACAAATGGACGGTGAACAATCAAGTTTGCTATGAAGTGCTCTGTGTTGATGTCAGGAGATAGCAGGGCGCCAGATCTCACGACAAGCTTACAAGTTTGCAAAGCTGAAGACACTGGGTCAGGCTTCTCATTCAAACCTGTCCCAGACCCCTCTGTGCTACAGCTTTCTCATGCTTGTAAGGTGGTCATGTTGTAAATCACATTCTATATCGGCAAAGCATTTTAAGATCACTGAAATAGTCACACATGCAAATTATTACTAACTAGAGGCCCAGAGCACATATTTGTGCATGGGTGGGGTCTGGGCGGCCCATCCCAATTGGGGCCCATCGGGCCTACCTGGTGGAGGGTGGAGGGAGGGAGGGGCCGAGGGCAGTTGGCCAGCCAGCCCTACCCCCTGGTCAAAATCCTGGTTGAACTCCTGGTCAAGGGGACAAATTTGCACATTAGCCTTTTATTATATAGGATTATCATCATTACTATGACTCTCCCAGATGCTATGCTTCAAAAACACCATTTTCCCCAAATCCCTCTTAAAAATTCTCTAGGTTTCCTGATGAAGTCTCACGAACTCCTCAAAGCCACAAGTTATTTCAAAAGTCTCATTTGCTTGGAGCCACCTACATTGTTTGAACTGCACCAGAAATGACCCTGGGCAGCCCCTGCCGTGTACGATAGCTCCGGCAGAGTGACATTTAAAACATCAGGAGCGTTCTAAACACAGCAGGCTCGGTTCCTCATCCACAGCCCGACCCAAATCCAGCACCCTTCTTCCACCGTCTCCCCAGGTCCATACTTCTAAGCTTTGTAGAGAAGCTGCCTGCATTTTGTTTGACCTGCCATTTATTCTGCAGGGGGAGGGGCCTAGATCCTTGGACAACCGGATAGTTCGTCCCCAGATGGGCAATGGCTCCCTTGTTAGCATAACGACAAAGATCCTGGTGGTGCCTGGTGGGTATCCTATGTCCATAAACCACCATTTACTGCACTCATGGAAGGCAACTTGCAATCATCCACCAGGAACTGGTCTCTGAGTTGGGACAAGTGCTCAGAGGAGAGAGGAGAGTGTGAAGTTAAAAAAATGCAAGCACTAGCATTTCCTAAGGGGACCTTTGGGGTTTATTTTCAAGTTCATGCAGTGGTAGCCCAATTGTGGTAGCTTCTCCAATGGTCTTTTCCCCAGAGAGTGGCCCAGGAGCCCAACTGAAATGGGGTCTTTGGGATCATGGCACCCCCAAGAAATGGTAGACTTTTCCATATCACTATGAAAACACCTAATACACTTTGAACATTAGGAAAAGCCTATACCATAACGTAGAAGGCCCTATCATATCCGTGTTTATACAGGCACGCATGCATGGACACACACACACACACACACACACACACAATAGGTGACAGCATTTGGCGTTTTCTCCATTACAACCGTGAAGTTTATAATATAAAACACAAGTCAGGGTGCAGGTGTTGTTTGTGTTCTGTAAAGAGAAGGTAGCAGAGCTTCGGCTGCTACCGAGTGCTCTCCTGAGCTGGAATCTGCCAGGCCTGCAGTATTATTAACGGAGGATTATGGGAATTGGAAACAAAAAGCTGGAGTCCACCGGGAGTGATAGGCTCAAGATGAACTCAGCTGGAAAGCGTGGCTAGCGGCAAGTGACATCCTTTGTGCTGGAACTTTTCTATCGGAGAGCTTTAAAAAGGCTGTAATTATTTCTGAGTTTTCAATTCATCCCTTTTCAAACTAAGCCTTTTATTTCCTTCCTTGCTCTGTACCTTTCCTTTGTGTGGATTCGGGCGTTTGCCAAGCACTGAAGCGGTAAACTCATATTGGTTTTTCTACATCTATACCTTCCCAGGGAATAGTAAGCAACATAACTTTTGTGTCCGCTCTGCCAAGAGAAACAAAGGGATATTTGTACATCAAAACCTTTATCTTGTGCACAGGCTCAAAATACCTGCACATGGCTAAATAAATCACCCCAGGAGAATTGGCTGAGTAAGGCCAACGAATAATTTCTCTGTGAGTTGGTACTTTTTCTGCATGTGAATCCCCAGGAATGCAGGGACTTAGACTTACCTCGTGGCGTTTGGGTCCCAGATCACAATGTCAGCATCGGATCCCACAGCTATTCTCCCTTTCCTGGGATAGAGGTTAAAGATTTTAGCGGCATTCGTGCTGGTCACCGCCACAAATCGGTTTTCATCCATCTTGCCACTGTGCTGTGAAACCATTCAAGGAAAAAAAAAAAAAGCATTTGTTCTAATGGTCAAGATTCAAGAATCTCCTAGCAATCAAACTTGTCTCTCTTGGAACCAAATAGAATTGCATCTAACTCCTGATATTGTGGAGTCAAACACACCTCATAATGATGGGAATGATGGATAGAAAATGGAAGCCCAAAGATAACTGTTCGAAAATACATCAGCTTAGATGAAACCGGTTTGGCTCAGTGAATAGAGCGTCGGCCTGCAGATTGAGGGAGTCCCAGGTTTGATTCCGGTCAAGGGCATGTACCTTGGTTGCGGGCACATCCCCACTAGGGGGTGTGCAAGAGGCAGCTGATTGATGTTTCTCTCTCGTAGATGTTTCTAACTCTCTATCCCTCTCTCTTCCTCTCTGTAAAAAATCAAAATATATATATATATATATATTTTTTTTAAATACATCAGCTTAAAAACACACACACACAACCACTGTTTTTCCCCATTCTCAGAGTCACATAGGCAATAGCTACATGTTAGGAATGATATTTCTAATTCTCGTTTGAAGTTCACCACCACCGCCCACTACGTTTATGTACTGCAGACCCAAGATGGATGAGTCGTCATAAAGACTGGAATGTTATAGAGTTAAGGTAAGGCAGACTTTTAAGTCAGGGGACAACACTTTTTGGAAGAGAAAGAATCAGCCCACGAATTTTAATTTTGTGCGATCAACTTTACATAGTCCAAACATTATAGGCAGTTTAGTACAAAAGATTTTTTTTTAAGTGGACAAGCATTAAAATTACTTTTTTTAATGTTGAGAGGTTAGCCCTACAGATATTTATATGGCAAACGCATCTTTAGGTTTATTTCATTATCAAAGGGTCCCTGTCTTAAAAATAATTACTATGTCCTAATATTACCATAAGTAAATCGTCTTGATGTTCCACAAAATAACATTGAGGATTGCATCATACTGAGAAACATCCAGTCACTTTAAAACCATTTACATACTTGGGGAAGGTAACTGATTATGAAAACCTGCTGTAATAAAGGATACTCATTATAGGAACACATGTGTGAAGAGAAAGGTTGGACTGTTATCAAGAAAATCAAAGAAAAGAGACAGAGAAGATATGTCATCTGGGATGGTTAGAGTCAGGGTAGAGAGCAGGGGGAGGGGAGAAAGAGGATGATTGCTAGAAGATAGGGCTTTAAAGATCCTTACGTGTATACTCATTGTTCAACTACCATCCTAAAAGTAATGAAGAAAATGAAAGGGTGTCAGAGAGAAAAGAAGCATGATCAGACCTCCATTTCTGAAGGGTCACTCCCACACTGGAGTACAGAACAGACTGCAGCAAGCAAGGCTGGAGGAAGGACACCCGCTGTGGAGGCCAGACATGAAGATGGACGTGAGAAGGCATTTGGGGAACAAAACTGACAGTAATTAGAGTGAGGAGTGAGTGGTGCTTGGAAGGGATTCTGGCGCCTGAGACATGATTGACGTGTCATCTAAGGGAGGGCCTCCAGGCGGTGGGCAAGCACGGCACATATGGGGACCTCGGGCCTCACCAGCCAGGTGTGCCCTGCTGACCTTTGCAACTTCACATGTCCGCTGGCTGGACAGGTTAACAGGTGGACCGTTAGCGATCTGCTTCTTCTCCATCCTCGGGGAGAAATTTTGAAGTGATGGGAAAGTAAAAAGGTCGTTGTCTAGACTTGCAATTATTATTTATATGTGCCCTCATACAGCCGCTTTTCAAATACTACATCCAAGGGTATTTTAAGGATAGCTACAAAGATTTCGTGAAAAGGAGGTATACACAGAATACTAAGAGTTCACGTATTTTCAGTCATTCCAAGAATTTTTGTTGGTGACACATGAGCTGGGATCAAGAACATTAAGAAATCAAGCAGAATGGCTACACCATTTCAAAGACTTCAAGAATCTACATTGGCCAAAACCGGTGTGGCTCAGTGGATAAAGCGTCGGCCTGAGGACTGAAAGGTCCCGGGTTCGATTCCAGTCAAGGGCATGTACCTTGGTTGCAGGCATATCCCCAGTATGGGGTGTGCAAGAGGCAGCTAATCGATGATTCTCTCTCATTGATGTTTCTAACTCTTTATCCCTCTCTTCTTCTCTGTAAAAAATCAATAAAATATATATATATTTTTTAAACTACCTTGGCACCCGATCTAAATGTACCTCCTAATGTGTGCAAAGCGTTGCAATGCACCCTCTAAACCAAACCACGCAGAGAAGAAAATCACGTCATTATTCTCGTGGGGCATGGGGCGGGGTGGTGACGGGGTAGCAGGCCCAGTCTCCACCAGAGCAAAAATCAATAGGAAAACTTCTCTGTGAAGGTTATTATGGCTCAGTGGATAGAAGCAAAGTGGATCCGGGTCGAAGCATTAAGCAAAACGCGCGAAACTCACCACGCCTTTTTCCCAAATGACTGACATCCGGTCCTCAACTCCGTTCACCCCGTTGGGGATCTTAGTGAAATCGTCCTTGCCGAGAGCTTTCTGGCAGGTGTTGAACGTGCAGTTGTCAGTGCCCGTGGTGGTCAGATCACCGCTGGAACAGAAAAGCCACCGGAGGGTGGGGGTGAGTAGGCAGAACGGGCCAGGAGGAAACCACCATAACCTCCTCTCGTCTCCTGACTTCCTTCCCAACCGAGGGTCAGAAAGAAAAGAGTAGCTTTTTCAAGGACCTATTCACCCACTCCCATCCCTGCTGTAGGAGGCACTTTTAGAAAATACTCTTTTTAAAAAAAAAAAACATATATATTATTATTGATTTTTTTTACAGAGAGGAAAGGAGAGAGAGAGAGAAACATCGATGAGAGAGAAACATTGACCAGCTGCCTCCTGCACATCCCAATGCTGGGGATGTGCCCGAAACCAAGGTACATGCCCTTGACCGGAATCGAACCTGGGACACTTGAGTCCGCAGGCCGACGCTCTATCCACTGAGCCAAACTGGTTAGGGCCAAAGAATACTCTTACGAGAAGTGCCAGGATATGTTCTAAGCGCAGTTCCGTCACTTACAGGTTCTGTGATTACAAGTTTGCCTGATGCTCCGTTCCTCATCTAGAAATGGATCATTCTATGGGCTTGGTGACGATTGCTTCAGGATTATTGGCAATAATGAAAGTGAACGTTCCTAGGGAGGAGAGTGCTACACAGGATGTACCGGGGGGTGGGGGAGATGCCCAGGCACAGAGGCGGGTCCTCTGGGGCAGCCCCTGGCTGAATGGGAACGTTGCGGTGCATGGAGACATGACCTTGGCTGAGGACATTGATGTCAGCAGTGACGGGAACCCTGCTTTGGCTTCGAATCACCTTGGGGACGCAGACAAGTGTGGAGGAGGAAGGAGGCTGAAAGGAAGGGGCACCTGAACTCCTGTATCGTCTGCTATGACATGTTCTCTGTTAACGTGGCTACGAGAAGCTGTGCTCGGGGAGTGTCGGGATGTCCATGAACAGTGCCATTCTCACAAAAACATCATCAAGCCGAAACCGGTTTGGCTCAGTGGATAGAGCGTCGGCCTGTGGACTGAAAGGTCCCAGGTTCGATTCCAGTCAAGGGCATGTGCCTTGGTTGCGGGCACATCCCCAGCAGGGGGTGTGCAGGAGGCAGCTGGTTGATGTTTCTCTCATCCGATGTTTCTAGCTCTCTATCCCTCTCCCTTCCTCTCTGTAAAAAATCAGTAAAATATATTTTTTTAAAATACTTAAAAAAAAAAAAAAATCATCGTGTCCCAGAAAGCAGTGTCTCTGAAAGCAGTTTTGATGGCCTTTCATGGAGATCACCTACTCGCAGGTAGATTTTGCTTTTTTACCCACTGGAGTGATTCAGCTTTTGACTGAAACCTATTATTCCTACACACCAGGTACATCTGGTTCCCAGGTTATATCATCATCAGAGGGGATAAAAATCAAGACTCTTCTGTAGGATAGAAACAAAGCATAATGAAGAGGCCTGGCTCTAGGCGACAAGAGACAGAAAAGGAGAGAGGGAAAAATCAGAAGAGAATACAATTTCAGTTAAAAAGGATCTGATGTCTCTATGTCCAGGAGAGAGATCTTGACACTCTTTCATCACCTAACTAAGCCCATGCTCTTTGGTCTCCAGAGGAAGAACAAACAGTCAAAGAGCCCATCAGGTCCAGCAGAATAGAATACTGGGAAGTCCATGGAAGGTCCAGGTGGTGAGAAAAGATCTCTGCTCGAACCCAAAACTCGTCAAACACCTTATTGGGGCAAAAACACGTCACAGCCATCTGCTCAATGATTACTTAGCCAGCAGATTCATGAGGTAGTCAGGAGTTGAAGGGTCCGGTCTCAAGGGGGGCCCCATCACGTAGTGAGCTGCGTGGTGCCAGTCTTTGTTCCAGTAGTGGGTGCCATCTGTGCCCAGACTCGCTGCGATGGGCTCTCCATACACCACCTTCCCTGGAAAGAGAAAAGGAAGCGTTCAGCACCTTAATGGGTTCTTAAAAGAAACCAACCGACACACACACAAATATTAGTCTCTCCCATCTCCATAAAGGATAATAGGAATCCCAAACCTTTAGTGAGCTGGATTTAAAAATAAAAACTACTTTTTAAAATTTCCTTATTGAGGAAGGTATTACAAATGTGTCCTTCTTCCCCCATTACCCTCCCCCACCTCCCATTCATGCCCCACCCCCCCTGCTGTCTGTGTCCATTGATTAGGCTCATATGCATGCATATAAGTCCTTTGGTTGATCTCCCTCCCTTACCCCCACCCTCCCCTACCTTCCCTGAGGTTTTATATTCTGATTGAGGTTTCTCTGCCTCTAGATCTGTTTTTGTTCCATCAGTTTATGTTGGTCACTATATTCCACAAATGAGCGAGATCATGTGATATTTCTCTTTCTCTGCCTGGCTTATTTCACTTAGCACAATGCTCTCTATCTCCATCCACGCTGTTGCAAGTGGAAAGAATTCCTTCTTTTTTTTACAACAGCATCGTATTCCATTGTATAGATGTACCACAGTTTTTTAATCCACTCATCTGATAATGGGCACTTGAGCTTTTTTATGGAGCATTTACCATGTCCCAGCCCATGTGCATTGCATATTATGGTAATGGTTGTCCGCACTCACTGGTATCAGACTTGGTCACGTGATTATTTAGGAATGGCAGCCACATGTGCTGCTTCCAAGCAGGAGTTGTTAAAACCACAGTTTGGGGGAATACCACCCCCATTCCCTCTATCGTGAGACCAGCAGAGGCTGCTCCTTGAGTTGTGTCTCAGATGGCAGAGGCGGAGCCAGCCCATGATGGACAGGAGCATGAATGGGAAACAAAATCGCTGTCATTGTAAGCCAATACTATTTCAGGTCCGTTTGTTACTGCAGGGTAACCTAGCAAAAGCTGGCTGGTACATGTGCCATTCCAATGGAGTCATCTCAAAATCCTACATAGGAAATACTATTAGCTCTATTAAAAGAGGAGGATACAGATAACGGGGTTAAGTGATTTCTCTATAGTTACGTTACATTACACTTGATATCGATGGCGTACAGGAGGTAGAATTTGGGTCCAGGCACTTTGACTCCTATGGTCCTAACCGCTATGCTATACTACCCCAATGACAGTTATCCTACGGGCATACAGAGTTCAATCCCAGTGCATCCCTGCTGCAAATAAACCGGTAACCTTTTCACACCCTTAAGAAAAAAAGCTCCCTCTAAACACACAGTAAGTAAAAGAACACAGATAAAATTGTAGCCAGAAATGCATATTTTAAAAATCATGCAAATGAGGCCATCAAAAGCACACAGTGTTAGAAAAGCTAATGGCGCCAGGGAATTTGAATTTGAAATCAGAATCCTTATCTCTGATTAGCATTTGTCAGAATAACAGGTTCCCTGGCATCTAACCTGATCACAGCCAGGCAGTCACAAAGGAGAGTGCCTGGGAAAGAGATGCTGGTCTTCCAACTGAGCTCGCTCTGGGTCCTCAGAGGCCAGATTTTAGTGAAAATCCTGATGCACGCAGGAAATTCACTGGCTTCCTCCGGGAGCACTCACAGCGGATGCCCACCAGCTGCCTGAGTCACACTAAATTGGAAAGCAGCGCCCTATTACCGCACAGATCTTTTCTCCCTCAAACTAGCCACTGTACTAGCCACTGTCCTCTAGCTAACCGGGGAGTAATGGAAAACCAGGAAAGCGAGGCTTAGTGAAGCCGAGCGAACTTTGCTTCTTACGTAACCGAGTACCAGACCTCAGTCAATGAGAGTTACTCCCCAGGGACCTAGCTGCTCCCCTCCTGTTGGTCAGTGTCCCAGTCCCAGGAAAGGGGGAATTCCGTGAGGATCTCTTTCTGGTGTCTGAAACAAGCAATCGTTTTTATTTTATTTTTTTTAATATATTGTATTGAATTTTTACAGAGAGGAAGAGAGAGGGATAGAGAGTTAGAAACATCGATGAGAATCATCGATCAGCTGCCTCTTGCACACCCCCTCCTGGGGATGTGCCTGCATCCAAGGTACATGCCCTTGACCGGAATCGACCCTGGGACCCTTCAGTCCTCAGGCTGACGCTCTATCCACTGAGCCAAACCAGTTTTGGCACAAGCAATCGTTTTTAATATAAACTAAGTGCTAACGTGCTATTTTCTGGGAAGGTAGCAGGATGGACACACTGCTTTATTTGCGGGCACGGAGAGACCTTTCTATTCCAAGAGGACTTCTTACAGGCGCGTAAACATTGAGAAACTCAGAGACCTGATCAGCAATCACGTTGTGAGTTGCCAGCTCAGGAGTTCCCATGGCACTTTCTAATCTAGGAAAGGCCCTGGTCCCTTGTTCTGCTCAATCGTTTGGGCCATCAAGGTGATGAGGGAACGCTGATCCAGAAGTCCTACAGTCGTAATGGCGCTCGGGAAATATTCCAAGTGTCAGCACCTACCAGCCGTCTGCCAGGACTGTTTTGAAACCAGAGAACAGCTCATTTCCTTGGAAGGGCTTTAACCCCTTTAAAAGGTGACCGGCAGCTCTTCCGTATCCAGCAAGCTCTTTGTTAGCGGGGCTAGTTTCAGCAGCCCCTCCATGAAGCATCTGGAAATTCCAAAAACTGAAAAGTGGAAGAGGAAACATTCCCAACTGCTCTTCCCCTACTTCACAATGGTCCTAGACATTTTCAAAGGGCCGAACAGCGTGCAAGAAATAGAAAGGGGGAAGCGAACAAGGGGCCTGGAGAAGCCATACATTGGAAAATCAAACTGGGCAATTCAGCGTAATTGTGGGTTCTGTGAGATCCGGGCTAAAAATAAAGTCATCGCAAAGACAGCTAACATATGTATAGCCCTCTCTAGTTTGCAAATACAGCTTGGAGGTCATGTATCTCATTTGACCTTCATGGCAACCCTCACGCTGGTTTGACAATGAACTGATGCTCAATAAGATTTAACTAAAGTGCCCTAACCGGTTTGGCTCAGTGGATAGAGTGTCGGCCTGCAGACTCAAGGGTCCCAGGTTCGATTCCGGTCAAGGGCATGTACCCTGGTTGCAGGCACATCCCCAACAGGGGGTGTGCAAGAGGAGGCTGATCAATGTTTCTCTCTCATTGATGTTTCTGACTCTATCCCTCTCCCTTCCTCTCTGAAAAAAAAAAAAAAATTTAATTAAATATATATATTTTTTAAAAGACTAACTAACGTGCCCAAAACGCTAGGGTAGTAAGTGGTTCACCAGAATTAGAACTCTAGCATTCCACTAGCATATCACACATATGCACTAGGTTACTAAGAAATGTGCCTCTTTTCATTTCTTAGTAAAGAGCATGTATTTTTATTTTTTTTTTATGTTCTCTTTTTCATTGTTGTTCGTTTTTAAATTGAATTTATTGGGGTGACGTTGGTTAATAAAACCATACAGGTTTCAGCTGTACAACTCCATAACAACACCTATGCGCACACTGCATCCTGCACTCAGCACCCATTTATCCGCCTTTGCCCTGTCCACCTCCCTCCACTTCCGCCTCCCTTTCCCTCTGCTCATCACCATGCTGTTGTCTGTATCTGGTTGTTTTTATTTTTTGCTTAATCCCTGCACCCTTTTCACCCAACCCCCAACCCTTCTACTCTCTGACAATTGTTAGTCTGTTCTATGTGTCTATGAGTCTGCTTCTATTTTTTTTATTTTGTTCATTAGATTCCACTCCCTGAGTGCATGAATTTTGTGTACCGCGCCTCTAGTTAGATAATAAGATTGTGTTGCTTTAAGCCACTAAGTTTGTGGTAGTTAGTGCAGCAATAGGAAACTAATTCACCTTCCACAAATATGAAATAGTATATGCATAAGGCCATCGCCGTGGTCCTAGTTGTAGCAACGTAAAGACTGGACACAACCCAAAGAGCCATCATAAGAACTAGCTGAACAAATACAGTGGCAAACTCCGCCCCTGTAAATTAGAATAAGCAAAGTCTCTCTACCTCACATTAGCTGACTTTTAGGACATATTTTTAGTAGGAAAAAAGTATGGTACAGAACACTGTGTATAGCATTTTATCTTTTATGAAGGAAAGAAAGAGAAGTAATAATATGCATATATTCTTTTTTTCATCCAGAGAAAAATTATAAAGATAGGCTAGAAGTAAATTAATAAAAATAATCACTTTGATGAGAATGTATTTTAACATATAATTTTGCGTCTTACGTATTAAAAAGTAAAATTTTAAATAATTTAAAATGAAATTAAATGTTCATACTTGCATTTCCTATCTAGGATTTACATTCCTAAAACCTTCCCTAGACTTTTTCTCTGCTCCTGATGGAATTCTATCTCAAAACAAATTTAATACCCAAGATCAAGAAACTGTTTCCTGACAGATATGTCAAAATTGCAGCTTGCTGGAGGGTTAAGATCGCACATTTCTGCTGAATTTACTGTTTTGGTTTTTTTAATCATATTCTGACATTATGGATCTGATTGACAGGCTGAAATGGTACAGGACTTAAAGCAAATAATTATACAACCCATTTCATAAGGTTAGCAACAGTGCCATCTGGTGGCTATAACTTTAAAACTGAAGTATTTTCTTTCTGAAGTGTGTGCTCTCTTCGCTGAAATCACATTATATGTAGGGGAGAAGGGGAGCAACCAGAAATGGTTGGTAGTAAGACCTTATTAACTTCTGTGTGATATCAAATTAATTCTTAACACAAAATATGGATGGGTTACTTTTTTTTTTTTAAATCCTCACCCAAGGATATGTTTTTATTGCTTTTTAGAAAGAGGGGTAGGGAGAAAGAGAGGGAGAGGAAGAGGGAGAAGAAGAGGGAGAGGGAGAAGGAGAGAGAAGCATTGATCCCTTGCTTCCCATTCACACCCTGACCAGGAGTCAAACCCACAAGCCCTGATGGGTAATCGAACCCACAACCTTTTGGTGTACAGGATGATGGTCCAAACAACTGAGCCACCTAGCCAGGATCACAGATTACATTTTAAGAATGCATTTCAGCCAGGACCGGTTTGGCTCAGTGGATAGAGCGTCGGCCTGCGGACTGAAAGGTCCTGGGTTCGATTCCGGGCAAGGGCATGTACCTTAGTTGCGGGCACATCCCCAGTGGGGGTTGTGCAAGAGGCAGCTGATCGATGATTCTCTCTCATCGATGTTTCTAACTCTCTATCCCTCTCTCTTCCTCTCTGTGAAAAATCAATAAAATATACTTAAAAAAAAAAAAAGAATGCATTTCAGTGGCACAAAGTCTTACTGAACCTTCATGCAACAAGATGCAATCTTGAGAAAGGGATAGCGTGTCCCCCAAAATGTTTACACACACTGAATAATTATAAAGGCGGTGCTTATTAAAATACACTTCCTGTTCAAAACTGACCTATCAGCTATTAAAGTGTGTTTACATTTAGGGAGGGGGAAACACCCTGTATTTTCGTGTCTATTTTTATAGTTTTCATAATCGATATTATAAAAATGCAGCCAGCTTTAGTTTAAACAAACAAGCAAGCAAACAGCCAGGATGGTTTATAAGACTCTATCTGATTATTTGGGTTTCTGAAAGTGAAATGATAGAAATGACTACCATGTCTCAGGACAGCCTAAAACCACTGAATAAAACCCACCTAATTTGGTTTCATCCTGAACTAGTACTGACAAATGACAGAGATTATTTCTCTACCCAATTCTTATCAAAAATACGAGATCCTCTCCCTCTCTCTCTCTCTCTCTCTCTCTCTCTCTCCTTTTTAAGTGATGACTACTTACATATTAAATTGAACTACAGCCAAAACCGGTTTGGCTCAGTGGATAGAGCGTCGGCCTGCGGACTGAAAGGTCCCAGATTCCATTCCGGTCAAGGGCATGTACCTTGGTTGCGGGCACATCCCCAGTAGGGGGTTTGCAAGAGGCAGCTGATGGATGATTCTCTCTCATCGATATTTCTAACTCTCTATCCCTCTTTCTTCCTCTCTGTAAAAAATTAATAAAATATATTTTTTAAATAAAAAATAAAATAAGGCATGTAGAAGGGATGGCTAGGGAGAAGGAACAGTTGTGGACACTCATCAGGCAGCTCTCTCATCAGCAAAGAGAGCGTGCAGGTGTCCCCCTCGCCCTCTCCCGAAGGCAGGGTCACGGGGGCATTACCCTCTCTCCTGGCGTCGGCGATCACCTTGGCCGCCGACCGGCTCATCACGTGCACCACGTACAGCGGGCAGTTCACGGCGCTGGCGATGGTGATGGCCCGCAGCGTGGCCTCCGCCTCCACGGCCTCCGGGCGGCACAGCTCGTGGCCCTCGGGGCCCGTGATCCCCAAGGCCAGCATCTTCTTCGCTCCCTAAAGAGGCAGCGGGAACACACGCATGAGCACAAAGGGCTTCCTAAAGGCAAACGCCATGGTGTGTGGGAGAGAAATGCAGGGGGGAGGAGGGGGTGTTAGGTCTGTTGGGGGGGGGGGGGGGGTGGCGATGCATGGGCGTGTGTTTGGTAAAAACAAATTCAACGCTCTGAGATGCTCCTTTTCACAGGCATGGCTCACAATTGGTTTGATAGAAAAGGTGAAAAAGTTAGGAGATTAGCTCTAATCATTCTTTAAAGGGCAGTCTTTATATTTAAGACTTTATTGGTTCAGGACAAACAAAAAATATGCTAATCCCCAACATTAGGTGCTTTTTGAAATAACTCATGGTATTATCATAGGTAGTTAATTATAGTTTTAACATATATTTTTTTATTGATTTCAGAGAGGAAGGGAGAGCAAGAGAGACAGAGAGAGACAGAGAGAGAGAAACATCAGTGATGAGAGAGAAACATCAGTGATGAGAGAGAATCATTGACCGGTTGCTTCTTGCATGCCCCCTACTGGGAATCCATCCCAAAACCCAGGCATGTGCCCTGACCGGGAATCAAACCATGAACTCTGGGTTCAAAGGTCCACTCTCAACCACTGAGCCACACAGGCTGGGCTTATTCTACTTGTTCCTGAAGCAGTCTTCACGCCCCCCCTTCCCCGGCCCCGCACACACACTGAATGATCAGGTATTTCCCTCTCCAAACTGCTGCACCTTCCTCGCCAAAAAGGCAGGAAGCCAAGACCGAGCGTGGGGAAATGCCTGCTCTGTGGCCACGGCTAGGAGGTGGAGCATCCGGTGTGAACCTCGGTCTGTTTGGGGTTACAGCCCCCGCTCTCCTCCCACTCCCCTCCGCGGCCACCTGGCCACCCGGCCTGATCTCACCGCCTCTAATGAGAACTGAGCCTGGGGGGGAGAGAGAAACCAGCTAACGGAAAGGGGAGGAGACAGCAGGCAATCATAATGAACCAAGGTGAGAAATAAAATGCCACGTCGATTTCCTCCAGAGCACTTTTCAATACCAGTTTCTGAAAAGAGGGGCACGTGAAACAGCTACCTCATACCCTGCTTACGTCATTCTGATTAAACCGGCGTCCACACTTTTGGCATTCTGAAGCAGCAGCCTGAGCTACTGAAAAGAAGAATGAATGAATGAATGAATGAATGAATGAAAAATAAATAGCCGAAACCGGTTTGGCTCAGTGGATAGAGCATCAGCCTGCAGACTGAAGGGTCCCGGGTTCGATTCCGGTCGGGGGCATGTACCTTGGTTGTGGGCACATCCCCAATGAGGGGTGTGCAGGAGGCAGCTGATCGATGTTTCTCTCTCATTGATGTTTCTAACTCTCTATCCCTCTCCCTTCCTCTCTGTAAAAAATCAATAAAATATTTTTTAAAAGAATGAATAAATGAATGAATGAATGAACGAACGAATAAATAAATAAATAAATAAATAAATAAATAAATAAATAAATAAAAAAGGCTGGGCTACACAGAGAAAAATATTTGTGTTTTTATGGTAACACGTTTGAGATCTAACATAATAGCTGGTTTGAGAAAGGAAAAATCCTTACGCACATACATTCAGAGCAGAGACTCAAGTACATAAAACCGAGTGTTTCTAAACCTCCGGAAATTAGTTTCCTCCCACGCGCTGGCCGCTTTCCCTCCCCGGGGCCGGTGTCTCCGCCCGGCGCTGCGGCCGGTTCTCACCTCGGCGATCAGGTCCCCGTTCTCCGCGTGGACCTGAGCGATCGCCCCGATCTCCTTGCACCGGGAGAAGGCGGCGTACAGCTCCGCGTCCCCCACCATGTACACGTCCTTATAGGCCATGAACATCTTGAAGGAGTTCACGCCTTTATCTTGGGTAAGGATTTTCATTTCTTCCTTCACCTAAAAGGACACAGCAGCAAGAAAACGTCACTGTCTAATTTTTTAAGATATCTTTTTATGGATGTCAGAGAGGAAGGGAGAAGGAGAGAGAGAGATAGAAACATCAATAATGAGGAAAAAATCATTGATCGGCTCCCTCCTGCATCCGATCAAGCCCACAACCCAGGCATGGGCCCTACTGGGAATCCAACCATGGCCTCCTGGTTCAGGGGCCAAGGCTCAGCCACTGAGCCACACAAGCTGGGTGTCACTGTTTAATTTAAAGATAATTTCAAGCTGAAACCGGTGTGGCTCAGTGGATAGAGCGTCGGTCTGCGGACTGAAAGGTCCCAGGTTCGATTCTGGTCAGGGGCATGTACCTTGGTTGCAGGTGCATCCCCAGTAGGGGGTGTGCCAGAGGCAGCTGGTGGGTGTTTCTCATCGACGTTTCTAGCTCTCTATCTCTCTCCTTTCCTCTCTGTAAAATATCAATAAAATATATTTTAAATAATAATAATAATAAAGATAATTTCAATACTTTCCAGAACATTGCATCTGGAGGAGAAGGAAGTAAAATAACAGTTTAATTATAGAAAAAAAGAAAGAAAAAACACATGGCAATTACGGCCTTAATCTTTCCCCATATTAGACTCCCTTCCATCTGCTGTGACGATACTTTTAAGTCGTGGAAGCATTTATAGTTTTTCTCCAAAGTACTTCATTTGCAACTTGGAAATAAATTTGCAGCATCCATCTCCTAATATGAGGACACCAACCCTGCCAAGACCTTGATCTCAGACTTCTAGTCTCCAGATTGCAAGAGGGCCCAGACCGGGCTGAGGGACACCCCCACCCCTGTGCACAAATTTTGTGCACCGGGCCTCTGTAAGAAAATAAATATCTGTTGTGTAAGCCCCCTCTGTTTGTGGTTCTCTGTGACAGCCTCCCTAGCAAACTGACACGTGTATGGAACAAAATTTGTGTGTTAACAAGATTCACCAGGTAACCATTGGCATATGGAGGGGGTGTGAAGCACTGGTGAAGGTGAACATCATCACTTTTGCCCCAATAACGTAAGAGGAAAGGAAAGAGGGAAGGGAGGAAGGCAGGATGACCTAAAAGCAAAAGAGATCAGATGCATCGCTTAGAATGGCATTTTTGGAGAAAAAATTAACTTTAGCTGTGAACTATGAACCTTGCTATTATATTTGCTGATCTACCCGTTAAACATGGATTACTTGTTTTATATTAACTTGGTGTCTAAAGCCCAATTTCTAGAGGGAAGTGGGGGTCAAGTTACCTGGTAACGTCAAATAAAGCCAGCCTCCTGACCCCTTTCTGGCAAAAAGACTCCTGAGTTCAGTCCAATGTTGGGGGGGGGGGGGGGGGGAACATGCTGCTGATTTGAACCACAAGTAAACATTTCTTCTCATGTACACATACCAGTTTAAATGGGGAGAAATGGACACATGTTAGCATCCCTCCAAACTGGTTTCCTAATCTGAGCCAGGCTGCGGTTTCTGCCATGGCCTTCGAAGACGTGGAAGGCGGTTTCAGCTCCATCAGGATGCGGTCTGACAGGCTGGTGAGGTCAGCACAGCTTTGCAGAAAGGGCACCGGCCAGGGGACACTGGGAGGAGGCCGGAAAACGTTCCTCTGTTCTCCTGTCTCTCTGCCGTGCACAGGAGTGGTGGTGGGCGGATGGGGGCGGTGCGGGGGAGAGAGGGAGGAAAGTATGGGAATGGAGGCATCCAGTTTTAAGTGGGAATTTCCTTGGATTATTTCCATAAATTAACCAGTTCTAATTAAAGTTCAGGTCTGTGGAAAAATACTATGTAAAGGAGTCCGGAAAAGCTGAATTTGAGGAAAAGAGAGACCAGCACTTTTTGAAATAGCACCTCAGCTTTGGATCTCTTTCTTTCTTCCTCTTCTTAGAGAGAGTGGAAGGGAGAGAAAGAGAGAGAGAGAGAGAGAGAGAGAGAGAGAGAGAGAGAGAGAGAGAGAGAGAGAGAGAGAGATTACCTTCCTTCTGCCTGCTCCCTGACCGGGCAGGAGATCAAACCTGCACAGCCACGTACATACATCCCTGTGCCCTTTACCGGGAATTGAACCTTCAGACCCTTCACTGTGCAGGCTGACACTCTAACCACTGAACTACCGGGCAGGGTGGGAGAGCAGTCCTTTTTAAATCATACCATGAACTAAATATTAGGAAAGGCTAATGTGAACTGGTATGAAGGACTTCTGCTATCATCTCTATAGGATTTTTTTAAACATCAGTTTTGGAGGTTGACAATAACGTACCAGGAATCAAACTTCAAGAGGCGCAAAAGAGCCGGCCAGGAGAGGCCTTCCCTCCGGCTCTGACCGCCCGCCACCCGCCCGGGCCCACCTTTGGGCTCACCTGGTCGCTCCACCAGGTCACGGCCACGTGCAGGCCGTAGTCGCAGCAGACGGCGGGGTCTGCCCAGCCCCGCCAGGTCTCAAAGGCGCCGAGGAGCGAGCTGCCCTTCGGAGGGATGGCGAAGTCCATGATCATGGTGGTGCCACCCGCCAGCGCCGCCTGGAAGCAGAGGAGGGTCCAGCAGGTGAGACGGCCATCTGCTGCCCAGGTCACTTATCTCCGCCCCCCCCCAAAAAAAAAACACATGCATTCGCAAGCCCCCAGGCAAACGGGACCGGCCTGAGAGATGGCACAGAAGTGCTGCCTTTAAAAAGCACAGAGAGCTGAGACCAGTTTGGCTCAGTGGATAGAGCGTCGGCCGGAGGACTGAGGGGTCCCGGGTTCGATTCCGGTCAAGGGCATGTACCTTGGTTGCAAGCACATCCCCAGTAGGGAGTGTGCAAGAGGCAGGTGATCTATGATTCTCTCTCATCGATGTTTCTAACTCTCTATCCCTCTCCTTTCCTCTCTGTAAAAAAATCAATAAATATTAAAAGAAAGAAAGAAAGTCAATGTGAGAGAGACACATAAAATTAGTTGCCTCCTGCGGGCCTGACCAGGGCCAGGGATCAAACCTGCAACCCAGGTCCATGCCCTTGACTGGGAATAAAGACCTGATGCCCTAACCACTGACCGACACCAACCAGGGGGGCTGCAATGCAATTGTATTAAGCTTCAGGGATGTTCCTCGGTGTGACAATCACTCATGAAACCGCGTTCCCCTAAAAGATGTATAAGGAAGGGCCCATGCTAGAGCTTTTTTTGCCTTCACACAACTCTTCTTACTCATGGGGTAACCAGCTTTACCCAGCAAACCAGTTGGTTAGAACACCACAGTCCCTGCCCTGGCTGGTGTGCTCAGTGGTTAGAGTGTTGGCCCAATTACCAAAAGGTTGCAGGTTCAATTCCTGGCCCTGGACAAGGCACATGCAAGAGGCAACCAATTCAACCACATCGATGTTGATCTCTTCCCCTACTCTCCTCTCCTCCCTTTACTTCCACTTCCTCCTCCCTCCCTCCCTCCCACTCTCTCTAAAAATCAGTGGAAAAGGTATCCTTGGGTGAGGATTAACAACAAAATGAAAAGGACACCGCAGTGCCAGCCACCTTAGACACTTTCAATATTTGCTCAGTTTCTTTCCACATCCGCTGCTTCTAGAGTCAAGTCCCAAAATGTCCCTTCGACTCGACCGAACACTGAAGAATGAGGAGCGCTCCGCGGAGGGAGAAGCAGTGAAAGCTGAACATTTATTTCACATTTCTGTGTAAAACCTGATTGTTTTCGCTGCGGACTGACTCCGCTCCCCTTTCATGTGTAGTTCGACGAACAAAACGCATTTACCTCTTCTAATCTGGGCTCATAAATCAGTGCTTTCAGCTCCTAATTACCTTGGCGGTTCTCCCTTGAAAGCCTTCCCGGGTTTATAAAAAGCTGCCTTTGCTGGGAGGACAGCTTGTGCTGTCTCAGGCGCACGTGTGACGGAACGTAAACTGAGATAAACTCTAAGCAGCAGCGGGGTCATAATCTTACAGAACACGAGATTTTATTGAGGAATGTATTTGGTTGTAAATCATTATTGAAAGCATTTTCTCTCTCCCCTACCTCTCTTTTTCCCCCTTTTCATTTCTAAGCTCATCACTATGACTTCACTAAAATCAGTCACAGGACTTGCTCCACCCAAGTTCCGGCAGTGCCTTTGGGCTGGAGGGAGGAGGACGCCAGCTGCATTTGCAGCTTTCTCGGCTGATGAGCATCACTGAAGCTTAATACAACTGCATTGCAGCCCTGGATGGTGTGGCTCAGTGGTTAGAGCATCAGGTTTTTATTCCCAGTGAAGGGCACGGACCTTTCAAATCCAGAAGCACATTCAGCTCTGCACAGCTGTCCTCCCCAGCTGTGAAATATTCATCCCTCCTACTGTGCAAAGCAGACTGAGGAGTCACCCTGGACCTTGACCTTGCTTCTTCCTTACACAATGTGCCTTTGTGCCCCTGGCTACTGGCACCATTTTGCTGTGCCCAGAGGCCCAGAGTGCCTGGGGTGGTGCAGGACGCCATGGCGATGGCGCAAGTGTCCTGCCCTGTCCCAGGCCGTTCAGCGCCTATGTATGCAAATTAACCAGTCGTCTTTGTTGGGTTAATTTGCATACTCACTCCTGATTAGCCGGTGGGTGTCGCGAAGGTACAGTCACTTAGCATGTTACTCTTTTATTGGGTAGATTATGAAGGCCAGGTAAAACTGCAGCTCCATATGCTCTAGTTGCCTGCCACCGAGAACAAAGACCACGGTGTTCACCTCAATCACTCCAACCACAGTGCCTAACACTTAGAGGCACTGTTCCCCAGAAGCATTTGTTGACTGAAGTAACGGAACCTGACCAGCCACTTGGAAAATCCTTAGCTTAGGGCCACTCTGTATGAGATGGCAGTGACAGGGCCCAGAAGTGTCACCCCTGGGGAAGACTGACTCGTCAGCAGAGACGAGAAGGTTGGCCACACCTACACAGCCCTTGTTTCAAAACGGTGATATCTCCCATCTATTCTTTTAAAGGCCCATTTGACTTTCCCAAAGGTCATTTGTTTCCTCCAAGGTCTTTCTCCCCCAACCCTTTCCCCTCTAAGGATTGTATGTAAAGCCTCACATCCTCACTGCCTCCTTGAGTCCCATTTTTCTATATCCTTGCATGCACCTGAATTTTAAAAGTCACTCTTCTCTCTTGCTAATTTCTTTTGTCAGTTTAATTTGCAGCCCTAATAGCGAAACCTAAGCGGTTATAGAAAAAGTTTCTCCTCCCTGACAGCAGCATAGTGAAAGCCTTAATCTCCGCACTACTTCTGGGTGCCATTGGGAACCCGCCTTCCGGACAAATGAAGGCGGAAACGGTGGAACTGAAAAAATGGTAGAGACCTCAAGCATGGAAGCTGAAAGAAGGCGAGTCCTAGATTCTGTCAGGTTCAATTCATATCACTTCCTCAGTAGGGCCAAAGCCCTACTGAACACTGAAAGTATTACAGATACATTCAAAAATAAGCCTGGCCAGCATGGCTCAGTGGTTGAGCATTGACCTATGAACCAGGAGGTCAAAGTTTCATTTCCAGTCAGGCCACATGCCCGGATTGCCAGCTCGATCCCCAGTGTGGGGCATGCAAGAGGCAGCCAATCAACGATTCTCATCATCGATGTTCTATCTCTCTCGCCCTCTCCCTTCCTTTCTGAAATCAATAAAAATATACTTATAAACAAAAAAGGAAAAAGATCATTTGGAACTTGACTTGTCAAAGACAGATTGTGTCTCCAAAGCAAAATTGGAATCCAACTGTTCTTTTATAAACTAGTGAGTTTTTCTTATGAGTAAAAGGCCTCTGTTTGTGTCTGTGTATGTTATACATTATGTTGTAAATGTAAGATAATTTCCTACCTCCTATTAGTATTGTTAAAATTAATTTTAAGGCAAAAGTTTTATAAGATTTGGTATTCTAAAATTCTCAGAAATATAGACACTAACTCAATTTTTTTTTCAAGTTCATGTGATCTAAGATTAATCTTTATTAAATAAAAGTTAGTTTGTTGGTTTATATAAAATAGACAAGTCTTGCCTGGCTGGTGTGGTTCAGTGGTTGAGTGCTGACCTATGAAATAGAAGGTCACAGTTCAATTCCCAGTCAGGGCACATGCCCATGTTGTGGATTCAATCCCCAGTGTGGGTCATGCAGGAGGCAGCCAGTCAATGATTCTCTCTTATCACTGATGTTTCTGTCTCTCCCTCTCTTCCCCTCTGAAATCAATAAAAATGTTAAAAAACAAACCAGACATGTCTTTATTTTACCCGAGCCTACAAAAAATAATTATTAATCACCGAACATAGGTTTGCCTGCTTTGGGCTTATGTGATGTATTTGAAAATAAAAAAATCTGTGTTTCTGGAGGTTATAAAATATCTTCATAAATCTGCCAAGTTAAAGAGTACTAATTGCATACTTCTTAGTTTTCATTAGAAACAGGTTTCAAGGGTTTAAATCTCAGAATATGTAGGAATTACGTATCATGCGGGCTGTTCCCAGCCTTTAGCATTTAGAACAAAGGAACATTTTCGTGGTTTAGACCTTTAAAAGGACTGCCTACACCTGGTACGATCATGAGTGTGGACTCTACCTGCGTGTGGTACTCTCGCGGCCGTCCTGGCCAGTTCAATAAATTCTTGCCTGCTTTTTTTTAAATCAATTAGCAGCCTCCGGTGGTCTTATTTTGACTCCGAGGTTCGACCCCACAACAAGAATCTTACCTAAAATATAAAAATCAGTTCATGAAAATGTGGCAAGGCCTTGGTCGATGTTGCTCAGCAGTGAGATCGTCAGCCCTCTCACCTAAAGCTTGCGGGTTTGATTTCTAGGCAAGGGCATGTACCTAGGTTGCAGGTTCGATCCCCGACTCTGGGCCTACTCCGGATTGTAGGAGGCAACCCATTGGTGTGTCTCACCTCTCTCTCTTTTACTCTCTCCTCCACTCTCTCTAAAAATCAATTTTAAAAAATATCCTCAGGTGAGCATTAACAACAACAAAAACTTTGGCAAACTTCAGTTTTTACCAAAAGGGAAATATAAACGTTCCGTTTCCAAGACAAACAAATGACCGGTCTTACAGAAGACTTTGTCCATTGCCCCCATGACGAAGGCTGACAATTAGTAACCAGGAGGAAGGCTTCCTTCCAAATCCTGAGGTGAACAGCCTGTTCCAGAGCCCCTTCTCTTGGGTCAAATCACTCTTTTTTCCTATCAGATACTCTGCTCCATCACGGGTGCTCGGGGCGGGCGGAGACGGGGAGGTGTGAGGAGAGTAAAACTGTTAGAAATCGGTAGGGTCCACACACTCCTGGCCAGGCTTTGGAAGCCTGAACAGCCTGTGCTTGGACTCAACAGTCCTGTTTGGTCCACACTCAAAGCATCGCCCTGGGGGAGACCTCAGGCACACCCTTGAAGGAAGAGCTTAGGCCTCCGGGATATCGACATGGAAGGAGCCATTCCCCTCACCACAGCCCAGAACACACACCTCCAGGGGTGAGGGCTTGACTTTGGGGGAAGTGCCGAGTGGAGTTTGAAATACAGGTTTGCAGCACGGCTGCCCTGCTCAGCTCCTGATCTTGCTGCTCTCAGGAGCCTTGGAGAAACCTTGAATGTTCTTTTCTTTTCTTTTCTTTTCTTTCTTTTTTTTTTTTAATATATTTTATTGAATTTTTACAGAGAGGAAGAGAGAGGGATAGAAAGCTAGAAACATCGATGAGAGAGAAAAATCGATCAGCTGCCTCCTGCACACCCCCTACTGGAGATGTGCCAGCAACCAAGGCACATGCCCTTGACCGGAATCGAACCTGGGACCTTTCAATCCTCAGGCCGGCACTCTATCCACTGAGCAAAACCGGTTTCTGCTTGAAGGTTACTTTTCATTCACCTGAGCCTCTAGGCTAGGGGTGTCGAACTCAATCAGAGAAGGGGCCAAAATCTAAAATCCAGCCTAAATCGCGGGCCGAATGGTTTACTGAACAGTCATAAACTGTCATTGTGATGGAAACGCAGCGGAGTGCAGTGATGACAGCGCGGTGCGGGCCACATTGCAAGGCCTGGCGGGACGGATTTGGCCCGCGGGCCTTGTGTTTGACACATGTGCTCTAGGCCTTTGTGCCTGGAGAAACCCAAGCTCTCTCACCTGGGGGTCCCAGGGAAGGTGATGGATCCCTGCACCAGCCTCAGAGGGCAGGCGCTCCAGCAGCAGGAATCTGAGGCTGGATTTAAAGTCCCTGGTGAGGACAGAGAAGACATGGGACCAGGCCCCTTGATACCAGTGGGAGTGCCTGGGAGGCCACACCTGGAATACTTCTTGTGGGATCCCTTGTCAGGCACATGGCTTTCCTTTTCTTTTCTTTTTTTGTGAATCCTCACCTGAGGATATTTTCCCACTGATTTTGAGAGAGAGCGGAAGGGAGGAGGGAAAGCAGAAAAAAAACGTGGATGTGAGAGGGACACACCGATTGGTTGCCTCCCGCAGGTGCCCCAACTTGAGACCCAAGTACGTGACCTTGACCTGGAATCGAACCTGCCACTGTTTAGTCCAGAGGATGACGCTCTATCCACTGAGACAAACCGACCAGGGCAGGGCTGTGATTTTCCTCCTGGAGCTGGCTTCTAGCCCACCCAGACCCCTCACCCTCACCACACGCTGCCTACTTAAGAGTCGGGCAGCGGCCACCAGGTGAAAGCCTTTTGCACTTGCTTCTGGCTGGACACGGAGGGCGGGAGCACCATCTGGGCACGCCAACAACGCAGAAGGGAAGGCTTGTGGGTTGCCATAGAACACCAATGAACACGGGGTCAGGAGGATGTATGGCGGAGAGAAATGAGGGCAAGAGAATCGACGGCCTTAAACTTGTCCAATTACCCGAATGAAGGCGCAGGAGGCAGCTGGGTTAGCCACGACGGCAGAGAAGGGAACCCCGGCAGCGGGAGCTCAGCGTGGGGAACCCAATCCCAGCTCTGCACCTGCTGGAGGGATGGCTCTGCTCTGCACCCCGCGCTCACTCAGCTCTGCACTCCGGGCTCACTCAGCCCTCGGGGAGGGATGGCTCTGCTCTGCACCAGGGCTCACTCAGCCCGCGGGGCGGCTCCGCTCTGCACCCCGGGCTCACTCAGCTCTGCGCCCCGGGCTCACTCAGCCCGCGGGGAGGCTCCGCTCTGCACCCCCCCGAGGGCTCGGCGGGCATCGGGCGCGGCCGCGGCGGCGGGTGGGTCGGTACCTGGGTGCCCTGCAGGAAGTCATCCACGGCCCTCGTGCCCATGAACGGGAACTGCATGTGGGTGTGCGTGTCGATGCCGCCGGGCAGGACCAGCTTGCCGGTGGCATCCAGGACGCGCAGCCCCGCGGGCGCGCCCCCCGGCGGCAGCAGGCCGCGGCCCAGCGCCCGCACCACGCCGCCCTCCACCAGCACGTCCGCCGCCTGCGAGGCCTCGGCGTTCACCACGCGGCCCCCGCGGATCAGCAGCGCGGCCGGCGCCGCCATGGCCGGGGCGCGGGGCGACACCTCCTGGGGGACCCCCACGGCCCGGGCTGCAGACGAGGGGCGAGTCCGGAGGCCCGGAGACCCCGTGGGTTTTATCCACCGGCCTCCGGGGGTGGCTCCGCCCCGGGCCCGCGGGGCTGACCCACAGGCTGGGGCCAACGGGAGATCCACCCGGTTCCATGCCACACCCGCCCCGGCCCGGGAGAACCACCGGACCCGGGTTTCCTTTTAAATATTCATGAGCAAATCGCCACACAACCCCAGCGACTGGCAGGCTGAATGTTCAGAGGGGAAATATTTACTCCATTGGAAACAAAAACAACTTGGTATCAACTATTCATTCTCCCAGTTTTCGTGGCACAATTCATACCGGCAAGTTTTTTTCTTGGAAAATAACAGGTAATATAACTCCAAAGATCTAGGTGTGTGTGTGGTTTTTTTTTAAATATATTTTATTGATTTTTTTTACAGAGAGGAAGAGAGAGGGACAGAGAGTTAGAAACATCGATGATGAATCACTGATCAGCTGCCTCTTGCACACCCCTCACTGGGGATGCGCCCGCAACCAAAGTACATGCCCTTGACCAGAATCGAACCTGGGACCCTTGAGTCCGCAGGCCGATGCTCTATCCACTGAGCCAAACCGGTTTTGGCCTTTTATTTTTTATTTTATTTTATCTTTTTTTATTCTTGTTTCCAAGGAGTCTCACGTGACATTTCAAAACAGAAGACGCTCAGACCGAGCTCTCCAACCGTCACACCTCCACGGCGAGCCTGGCCAGCCGGTACTGCGGGGAGGCGGGCGGCCGCAGCAGCACCAGGCCCCGCTCGGCGGCCTCCTGGCCGGACAGCATGGCCAGCAGGCCCGTCAGGCTGACGAAGCCCAGGGCCCCCCCGCCGCCCGCGGCCATGGAGAAGTCGCCCTGGGTGACGAAGCCCAGGAGGGCGCGGGAGCAGTGAGCGGTCACGTCGGGGAGCGGGCCGGGCCACAGGCCCAGGGTCGGAGCAGGGGCCGGGGCCCCCTCGGCCGGGCCCTCCTCCGGGGCAGCGGGCCCGGGGGGGCGCCTGCCCTTCCCCCGACCCCTCCTCTCGCTCCGCCTGCGGATCTGGCTCTTGAACGGGTCGCTGTGCTTGGGTTCCTGGGGCCCCGGGAACAGCGGGTCCCGGCGGAGCTGCAGGAGGTCCTCCTCGGCCGGGACGCAGATGGTGGCGTGCGGCTCGGGGCTGCCCTTGCCGGGCAGGGCCAGGCTGACCCACACCAGGGCCCGGGGGAAGCGGGCCAGGAGGGAGCGGCGGGCGCCGGGGCTCAGCTCCTGCTGGCCCCTGCCGGGAGCTCGCCGGGCCGCCCGCCCGTCCCCGGAGCCCGGCCGGCACCAGGCGGACAGCTGCTTCAGCGCTGCTCTGCTCCTACACGGGGGAGGGTGTTTTGTTCAAGGAGAGAAGATGCAGTTAGAAGATTAGACATCGTGTGAGTTTTAATGTTTATACAATGTGGGAAAGGATCAAAACTCCATCAATGTTAAGAAATTAAAAATAAACATCAATGCATTTTTTATATTCATATTTTTATGTGTCTTGTGTGTCTACTCTTCGGAGACAGAAAGACTAAAGGTTTAAGAAGCTGAAGGCAGAGAAAAATAAGACAGTGGGTAGAATCGAAGGCTGGAATCACAGTGAGAGGATTAAGGAGGAACTGATATATATATATATTTTTTAATATATTTTATTGATTTTTTATAGAGAGGAAGAGAGAGAAGGATAGAGTTAGAAACATTGATGAGAGAGAGACATCGATCAGCTGCCTCCTGCACACCCCGCACTGGGAATGTGCCCACAATCAAGGTACATGCCCTTGACCGGAATCGAACCTGGGACCTTTCAGTCCGCAGACCGAGGCTCCACCACTGAGCCAAACCGATCTTGGCAGGAACTGATATTTTTATTAAAAAGAAACTCTAAAGGCCCTAGCCGGTTTGGCTGTGGACAGAGTGTCGGCCTTCGGACTGAAAGGTCCCAGGTTCGATTCTGGTCAAGGGCATGTACCGTGTTTCCCCGAAAATAAGACATCCTCCGAAAATAAGACCTAGCGCATGGAAAGATAAGACATCCCCTGGAAATAAGACCTAGCGCAACTTTGGGAGAAAAAATTAATATAAGACACTGTCTTATTTTCAGGGAAACAGGGTACCTTGTTTCGGGCACATCCCCAGTATAGGGTGTGCAAGAGGCAGCTGATCGATGATTCTCTCATCAATGTTTCTAACTCTCTATCCCTCTCTCTTCCTCTCTGTAAAAAAATCAATAAAATATATATATATTTTTTAAAAGTTTACAACAAAAAACTATGTTTGAAATTTGATTAATAAAGTATGTTTAATATATATATATATATATATATATATATATATTTTTTTTTTTTTTTTTAAAGAAAAAACTCTAAGGGAGTTACATGGAAAAAAAAGAATAAGGCAAGAGGGGTGAGTGCTTCTTACAAAAATCAGAGAAATAAATAAGTAAATAAATAAATAACAGAATAAAGGGTGACTGATAAGCAAAATGTAATGCCTGCAGCAGGACTGAGCAGAACACATTTTATCGTCAGATACGACAAAAGTACAACGAATCGGTACCTAACCGGCCACAAATCCAGATCATTCAGAAGGAGTGACGAGAAACCTAACGCAGTGATTTACGGCAAACAGTGCCGGTTCGGAGATGCTGGGACCGTCCCCTCACGTACATTCACCAAAGTCCAGCTTTGCGGGCAGACTAACTAACGGAGCCACGTTGGCAGGAAAACTCTCTTGGTTTGGGTCTACGGGTGAGAGCTTTTCCAATCAGCTTGTATTATACGTTAGCATCTCATGTGATGGAGCCGTGGTCTCCAAGTCCAAAACGTCACGTGGGCCTTGCACTAAGGAGCCGTGGTCAGGTTTAGCCGTGGTCAGAGATGACCCAGACCCCGGAACGTCCCGGGAAGCCGTGCGCACTCACCTGAGGACGCAGAAGGGTGGGCCTCGGGCATCCTGGCCGGGGACCCGCTCGGTGCCGGCCGGGGCGGGGCACTCCGTGTCCATCGCTTCCTCGGGCTCGCGGGAGCCGCTCGGGGCCGTGCCCCCTCCACCAGCCCCCCGGGGAGCTCGCCTGGGCGAGGGGGCACGGGGCGCCTGGTCTCCGAGGGAGCCACTCTCGCCACCGCTCCGGGAGGACGCCCCGGACAGCTCCTCCTGGGCCCGGACTCTGGACTCCCAGTCTCGCGTTAACTGCTCCCAGGGCAGGCGGAACGGCGCCAGGGCGCCCAGCTTCACGTAGTTGGGCCGTTTTGCAGGAGGGCGTCTAATGGAAACCAGAGAGGGGAGCCGACTCTGAATAATTTAGGATGGGGCAGTTAAAGTAAGTATGGCCACCGTATCTCTATTTAAGAAAATAAACTTAGAAAAGAAAGTTTTCTAAGAAATATAATCTATCTATCTATCTATCTATGTATCTATATGCCTAAGCGACCATTACAACCGAAAAACCAGTTGACCAGTCGCTATGATGCACACTGGCCACCAGGGGGCCAATGCTCAATGCAAGAACTGCCTTCTGGTGGTCAGTGTGCTCCCACAGCCAATCTCCCACGGCCCCTGCCTGGCCAGCTCCCCCATTGGCCCCGATCAGGGGGGTAGCAGGCCAACCTCCCATAGCCCCTCCCCCAGCTGGCTGGCCAGCCTCCCACAGTTCCTTCCCCCTGCCAGCCAGCCAGCCAGCCAGCCAGCCTACCAGGGCCCCTCCCCCTGGCCAGCCAATCTCCTGGGGTCCCTCCCCCTGGCTGGCTGGCTCCCCAATAGGCCTCGATTGCCGGCCAGGCGTGAATTCGTACACCAGGCCTCTGGTAAAGAATAACAACCAGCTGTACCAGCCCTGCCTTTGTCTCTTCTGGTTTTTATTCTGACAGATAATGCGTCCACCACGCAGCCCGTGGCCACTGCACAACCCCGGGGCCGCAAGCTGACGCCCGTGCGTGTGGATGGGCTCTCAGCCCTCAGGTGTGGTGGTGAGGGTTTCCTCTCACCCTTGACCCCCAGGCACCAGCTGCCCTCCAGAGACAGCATCAAACCAGTTTCTCACACATCCTCGCAGAGACGCGCCATGCGCACAGACGCAGACACGTCCCTATTTCTTTCATTTTTTACCCACGTTTACACAATGGTGGCACGCCGCGTGGTCTTTTTCTGCTCCAGTGTATAAAGTATGTTTCTCTGTTTTCGTCGTTTCACTGAAATTTCAGATGTGTTATCTCTATAATCAGGTATAAAAAAAAAAATCCCATTCCGGTTTTGAGGGGGGCTAGGGCTGGGGGTGGGGACTCATGTCCAAAGTGTAGGCGTCCGCCATCCTCAACGTACGCAAATGGCCACGAAAAGGGTTCCTGATCTGGACGGGCCTACACACGCCAGACACAGACAGTCTCCTGACGTATTCATGTCTCGGTAACGCTAAACTCGAGAGAAGCCTACGAAAACTCCACATTGTAGCTGAGAGTCACCTAAGCTGTTATTGACCAACGTGAGAAGGTACATCTCTTCCCCCGAAGACACTCCCCGCCTCGAGAAGGCAGCTTCTTACCGTGTGTACTTTTCCAGAAGAGTCTTGGCTTGCTCTTCGGCAAAGAGAGTCCCAGCGGAGCAGTCCGGGAAGTCCCCTGGGATGGAAGGCGAGCCTTTATACTGGGAATGCACCGCCGTCTCCTTTAAGCCTCCCGCTCTCGCGCCTCGGTAGATCTGGAAGACAAGCCCAGTGCGCCCTGTCAGCGGCCAGCGCCAAAGGACAGTGCTTACCTGTCCGCGGGGCGTGGATGGGTAACAACCTAAATGAGCACCTAAAGAGAAGGGAAAAGCCAAGTGTGGGAAAAGCCTAGCGTGAGCTGCCGTACCCGAGTGAAAATAAATGAAATGGAGCTTCACCAATCAATGTGGGAAAACCTCAAGACTGAGTAGGTATAGCAGGTTGCAAAACCCTATGCACAGTGA